GTTAGGTTAGGTTAGGTTAGGTTAGGTTAGTTTAGTTTAGGTTAGGTTAGGTTAGGTTAGGTTAGTTAGGTTAGGTTAGGTTAGGTTACGTTAGTTTCATTAGGTTAGGTTAGGTTAGGTTAGGTTTGTTTAGTTTAGGTTAGGTTAGGTTAGGTTAGGCTAGCGTTGTTGTCCTCTGTCAAGCGTCTTTATGAATTGAGTAAGATAAAAAGGCATTACATGAACGTCTTTCTTACGTAAAGTTTGACAGTTGTGATTTATGTAAATGTTTAAAACATGTTTTATGGATGTGGCACAACTGATGCCTCGTGTGGTTGAATTTCAATCGTAGATAAGAACCAAGGACTGTGAATCCTGAAAGGAAACTCGTGTTCTCTCGTAGTCGTCTTAAGTAAGCAAACGCACGCTTATACAAAATGCCGATAAAACTGTGTGGATGGAATAGGAAGGACGGAGGAGAATAATCATAGCGAGGTTTGTCATGTTAAGAAAAATGCGATATCGCACAAGGGAAGCCGGAAAACACAGGCTTCGAATGGAGAATAATATTAAAATGGCCTCTAGAAACGTATGAGAGTTTGAACAGAAATCATGTAAGTTAGAGTCGAGATTCTCACGGCCGTGAGTCCAAATATGTCTGTCTTCTGGGCTTTAAGCGCCATTAGTGTCGTAGAAGTTTACCGACGTTTCAGAGGTTTCTACTGCCTCCATCATTAATCCAGATCATCAATATTCACATTTCTAACAAAATCTCAAATCGTTTTTGCTTCTAATATTGCGTTTTAATATTTACGGATTAATTTATTTACTTATCCACGTGGATTAATTTTATCAATTTCAACGAAATTAGAAGGTATGAATCAGAGGATCAATTATGATACAATGTTCATACTAAATTTCGTTAAAATCGGCCGGCGGTTAAAAAGTTTAAAGTGTGGGACACACAGAATGGTGATTCCATAAGCACTCTGTCTTTTCTTACCAAAGGAAAATATTGTTTTCGTGCATCTTAGCTTGCGCTCAGAGAGCCCTAAATGTTGTGTGTAATCGTATTAATAATAGACTCGCTATCTCACATAATATTGTGGTGGCAAAAGGCGCTAAGATTCAGACGCTAAAGCAGAGTTGGTCAGCTGATCTAGTCTCTTGGGAAGAATCAGTCAGCGACGGAGTCTCTCAGGCGCCAAGGTCTCAGGTGCACTGTGGTGTAAGTGAGAGGCTTCCATCCTGATGATTTCTTCGGGGAACTTGGTGGAACGGCGACGCTTTAAATGAAGTGTGCGTTGATTTATGAGACGGCTTAATCTCTGTCTCTTTAAGATAAAATATAGCTGTGTGAAATATGCATTTGGTAGCAGAACACCCGCAATGCTATTCCGAGGAAATTCGACGAACGTCTCGCCACAAATGTTCTCGTCCCCACAGACTAGTAAGGCCTAATCACTCATACGTATTTTGAGTACGGCAGATCTGTTATTTCTAGACCCTCTGCAGTCGCCGGGACTCGAAAGAAGGACCGATTCTGTGTTTGAGATCTTAGATTTTAGTATGTGCTTTGTTCTTTGTACCGATTCATTTCGCGATCTACTGAAATCATCTTCAGCGGGACTCGAACTTGGAACACTTTCCGGATTCGAGACCTCAGTTCCTGAGATCCGCAGAAGTCACGTGGTATTCGTACGATTAGTGGCAACTTCGAGAATGCGATGGGCTTCGATGGCGGAGAAAGAAGGAAATGCGTGCAGAATTTTGGTTAGGAAAACATCTGGCAAAGAATGTGTTCTAAATAATACAAACTAAGTTAAAAATTAATTAATCAGTTTATAATCAAACTATACATAACTTCAAAATCTAATGAAATTGTGTCAATATTAATATAACGGACTGTGTGGCCCAGAAGTACGCAGGAGGATAACATTAAGATGCATCTTCGAAGAAGACGAGTTGTGAGGATGGGATGTCGACAAAGATCTTGTCCCTTTAATACCACAGTCTTAGTTATTTCGTAAATCCCTAAAAGATCTCATTAAACCTTAAAAAACATTTATTTAGGGAAGCATTGTCTCGCTTTTTATGACAGCGATAGTCAAAATATATTTACATGTCCCATTCTCTACGATACTTAAAAATCCCTCCACCCCCGGCTATTTCCTGACACACCATACAAATTTTCTTGT